TGTGCGTGTGCGTGTGCGTGTGTGTGTGTGTGTGTGTGTGTGTGTGTTAGAAACACAAGAAGATGATGGTGGTCTATAAGCAAATAAAAAGATTCCATTACCAGGAGCCAAATCTACTAATGGCTTGATCTTAGATTTCCACCCTCCAATTGTGAGAAAGCAAATTCTTGCTGCTTAAGCCACTCTGTGAGTGCTATCTGTTCTATGTGTCTAAGAAGAAAGACCAAGAGGATATTTCTTAGTAGTGAGTAAGCTCTGGAGGCTCAGGGCATGCCTGTTGCAGGATCAAGAAATGCCTCCAGGGTAATCCTAAATCTGGTAACCAGGACTATTGCTTTATAATGTGGTTGTGCAAGTCTGGAGAAGGGAACTTTCCAGGACTAGTGCTGCCCCTGGTGGAGATGCCGTTGTGCAGGTGCCTGTCCTGTAAAATGCCTAACGCTCCAATGAACACACCCACCTAATCTTAAAAAAAAAAAAAATCTCTTTGAAGGGGCAGCAGTTTATCAGCCACCTAGATCCTGCACATATTGATTGATCCAACCCAATGAACTATAACCCCTCATACCTCAAGGTCATAGCCAATGCCATGGGCCTTACACATCTGGAGAAAAACATAATAGAAGACTAGGGAGAGATTGTCGTGCTTCAGCTGGGTGGTCATCACTGCATAGCGACTGGTTTCTGGTGACTAGAAAAGTCACAACTGAAAGTTAGACTCTAAAAATTTTCAAATCAAATTTTAACTTTATAGTTACAGATTTGCGTAAAATTGATTAGATAATGCAGAAGTGTTTATCCCGCCACAAGTGCACTGTTATTACTGTCTTACATTGCTTTGGAACATTTGTCATAACTAGGAACCAAACTGATACATTACTATTATCTACCTAAGTTCATACTTCATATGAATTTCATTAGTTTCCCCCTTCGTGTTCCAGGATCCCATCTTATATTTAGTGTCATATTATACTCAGTTATCCTATTTCCTTATGTTCCTCGGGTCTTTTTACAGTGTTTCAGATTACCATGTTTTTGATAAACTTGACAATTTTGAGGAGTACTGGATGGCTAGTTCATAAAATTGATTTGTTTTTCCTGATGTTTTTCTCATGAGAGAGCAAGGCCACAATATAAACCAGTCTTCATCACCTCCTATCAAGGGTCTATGCTATTGTGTTTTGACTGCTATTTCCTAAAGGTCACATGTTAAAGGACAGTGAAGCCATTAGGAGGTAGGATTCTGTGGAAGGGCCTGTGGAAGGTCTCAAAAGGAATTGTGAGAAATTGGTGGTTTAGTATCTAGTCTACTTCTTGGCTCCTAGTGTAAGTGGTTTTATTTCACCATGCATGTTTTATTGTTGCAATCTATCACCCCCACCAGAGGCCCAAAGTAATGAGTGGGTTAGTCCACCATGGACTGGTACCTTCAAACTATAAGCTAAATAAAACCCCTGTCTTATTTTCTCCAAGTTAACTAACACAGTATCAACATGACATATTATTGAGAGTGTTAGAAATAGTATTCCTCTTTCCCACACTATACTTTATAGAAGTAAGTCACTTTAGTGTTCACAAAAATCCCCTCTTCTCAAGGTAGCCAATTTTGGAACTAATTGCATTTTCAGTTAGGAAACTGCTATTTTTTAAATTTTTTATTAGTAAATATTAGTTATACATACAAATGGGTTTCATTATGGCATCTTCATACATGTACACAATGGATTTCAATTATAGTCACTTATTACTCCCTCTTGTTCCCTCTCTCCCTGGATAATCTCTTTCCTCTTCCTAAGTAGCCCTTCTGCTTTTCATGCCTTTCACTTTATTTTGCATACCTATCAGTTGGGGCTACCCCAGAGACTGGCTATAGTAGGCCCAGAGAATTTTACTTATATATTTTCTAAAACATTTAAAATTTAATCTGCACAAATTAAGGTATTAGATGTGAGCAGCTTTGTAGAACACCATTTGTAAGATATATTTGCCTTGGACAATCGGCTGTTTTGTGGGTAACTGGAAGTTTGGAGACCTGCATACAGAGCCATGACCAACTTAAGAGTTGTAAAAGAATACTTCTGGCCCAGGTCTTGAACCTAGGGGTCCCACAGGTGTTTGGACTTCCACAGTAACTTGAAACAGGAGAAGACAAAAAAGATGCTGGCTTTGGGGTACCTGGAGATCTGTAGGCAGACCTCAGGCTTTGTCTAGGAAACAGTGTGGGGTCTGAGATGATTGAGTGCACATCAGAGACTATATAGCCTTACTCTTCTTTCTTCCTCACCCCCACATATATACAAACTCTATAGTCATCTTTTGTAACATGTCCCCCTTCCATGTGACTTTTCCATCAACATTTATATCAAACCCTATATGTGAAGGTTCCCAGGCAATATCATTGTTAAGGATGTTCTTCCCATGTGTAGGCAGAGTTCATGTCTATACAAATGTTAGGCCCTTGCAGGATAAGGTGTCTTGAGTCATGTATTGCCATTAGGATTGTCCCATCTGTACCTTCCAGGACATTTTTATTTTCATCAGAGACACAAAAACATTTTACCTATCAGTTGGGGCACCATGTAATGTTTGATACACATATGCAATCACAATATTTAAATCAGATAAGCATTTTATTTCTTCAAACATTTATCATTTCTTTGTGGTTAAAAACTTTCAAAAGTTCTTTCTTAGGTTACTTTTTCTTTTTAAATGTGCAGTACATAACTATTGTCAATAGCCACCATGTTGCAAATATTGTGGTGACAAGAGCCGGCTAAGAGAAGCTCTGACTCAACTGGCTAGACTCTCCCACGCCAGGCACATACCTACCTTCATAGTGAAGGCCCAGAAGCCTGAGCCTTTGCACATGGGTATGAACTGCAATACTTTGGAATTCCACTGTGGCTACTGAGCTTGTAATTGTATGGTAATTTCTGTGAATTCACATGGTAATTCCATCCAAGGTTATATTTGTCTTCTAAACTTGGCTTATACTACCTTAGTATATAAATAAGCACAACCAAGATTATGCTACAGTCAGTGAGAGAGGCAGGAAAGTACCTGGTAGGTAGATCACCCTCCATGCTGTGGTACTTGGTCATAAAGCACAAGAGAAGAGCTCATGGCCCAGTAGAATATGACTTCTGGATGTCAGTAAGACCAGGCCACCCTGAGGCTACTTCTTGGTGAAATTCAGAACCTAGCTTAGTGGGCAGACTCTTCCAGAGTCTTGATGAACTTCTTTAACCACTTCCCCTCCCTCTTCTAATTATTTGCCATCTTCTAAGAGACCACAGGTCTTACAGACATTCTCCCTTTCCTAATGGAGGCCTTCCCTTCCTTTCTACTCAGTGACTACCCTCAAGCATCCTCAAGAAGCATACCCAGAAGCATCCTCAAGAAGGAGCTGAGGATCCCAGGAACTCAAGCCCTGACTCCAAGTCAGTGCAAGGCTGGGTAAACACCAGTTTCAAGTTTGACAGCCTGCACATAACACCTTGGCTTCCCTGTTTATTTGCTAAGTAATCCTTAACATGTGCTCACCTTCTCTTAACCCAAATTTTTACATCTAAAAATGAACCTAATAGTGCCTGTCTAGTATATTGGGTTATGAACAAGTTTATGTGACGTTCTTAGCAAAGAACATGTGGATAAGGCTTAGCGAACTGTGATGCTGCCCTCACCCTAAGCTCTATGGCAGATCCAGGCACTGCCTTTCATAAGTGGCTCTTTGCCGCTTATTCCAGTTTTCTCCATGCTTCATGTGTTGGATAAAAGACCTTCTGAATTTACTTCTAGTTGATTCTTGGTGAGTGTTTAATGATATAGCCAAGTGATGACTGATAGTCTCAGATATGGCCTGTCATAAAAATATTACTCCCTTCCTGAAGTTTCTGCAATAACAATAAAAACCAACCTAAGAACCTTTTCAAGAAAGACTGCAGTATGGAGAGACAGGCCTTTCCTGTTTGCTCATGGCTGTGCTCATCCTTCTGTCCTCTGCAATGTGTAAGGATTCCTACAGACAATCCCATTCTTTAGGACCCATAAAATCAAGCTGTTCAGGAGACCTTGGGGATTATTTAGCCCTTCCTTGTTTACAACTGAGGAAACTGAGGCCAGAGCAAAGATCAGAATTCATGATCCCTGACCTCTCAGACCGACATCTTCACTCCAAATTCCCATTGGCCACATCTGGAATGTGTGGGGATCTCAGAAAGATAGTCTTTCCATGAAAACAAGAAGAAACAGCACACAAAACATTATCAGTGCTAGTCTAGTCTTATTAAACTACCTTTCTAAATCATGATCTAACAAGAATACTTCAAGCTAAATAAAAGAAGCCTGGAATACTCTTTTTCACTGGAGAATATAATTTTGCCTCAGTCACAATTTAAATTGATTTAGTTGTGAGCACAGCGTCTGAAGTGTGGGACGCGTTCTATTTTCACCATGATACTTGTTTTGACAGTGATGCATTTCAGTTGACATAGCTGAAATCCTCATGTAATAAATCTCTGCCTGGAAATTAATCATGTTTATAATATTCTGAGAATTAATAACACCCATTGCTCAAATCATTAACTTAAAAAAGGAGCTTCCAAAATCTGTTCTCGGCAGTAAGGGACCACAAATAAATGAATGTTTGATAAAATAATCCAAGTAGCAGTTTAACAAGCGTAAACTGGAATGTGGCTGCAATAACACAGAACTATTGTTTAAGGGTTGGCAGAGGCTGATGAGGTTCTTATTCCAGTTATGAAGCAGGCATCCACATGCATAATGAACTGCTCTCTGAATTATTAATGTGTTGCTTATTTAGCCTCATCTGTCTAGAAGATAATGTATCCTAACTCTAATGAGTGATTGGTTTTGTACATAATTACAGTAGCAGCAGTAGTGGGGAAATGTGTGCCTTCAACGAAGGAGTTCTAAAAATAAAGTCATCACATAAACTCTGATGTGGTTGCATTCTATCAAAATCAAACCCGAAGCATTTGAGAATTCATAATAAATTACAGGAGACAGAGTCATTATTAACATCATAATTTAACACAAAAGGTTTTACTTAATCATTCATTACAGATCATATCTTTTCAAACATGTATAAATGACTAGGGTTGTTTTAAGATGTAACAAAGATGACTTGTTTATGGCTACTCAGCAACTGTGGTTTAGAAAGTCTGGGAAGAGACCTTCTAAAGTTGACAGAAAAGGGTGATTATTTATGCCAATTTTGAAGTTAATTAAAAGTTTAAAAAATGACCTCTTTGTGTGTATGTGTGTATGTGTACATGGATACATGTGTACACATGTGTGTAAAGGTAGAAGATGACACTGAATATCTTCCTCATCACCCATTGTCTTACTTTTTTTCTTTTTTTTGAGACAGGGTTTATTTCTCACTGAACCTGGAGCTTACTGATTTATGTAGGCATCACTGCACCCAGATTCTTACATGGGTGCTGGGGACTGAACTCAGGTCTTCATGCTTATGCAGCAACTGAGCAAGCACTGGGCTTACTAATCCAGCACCCCAGTCCTTTTTATTTCTAAAATATGCATATCTGGAATTTCCCAGACTTTGTTAATGCCTTCAAATGTATTTGGTTGGTTGGTTTGCTGGCTGTAAAGGAGTCTAGATCAGACATGATGACCTGACCCAAGGGGTTCCAAACAGTCCTGACACCCGTTGCTCACAGTGGACATGGCTGAGCTCACCTGAGAGTCTAGAACTGGGTCTTTGCTCGTTTGCAGTTTGTTTTTCTTGTCTCAGCACAGCGCATTAAAGGGATAGAAGCAAACTAGGAGCATTTTATATTCCAGCTCTTAGTTCTGAATGTTCTGTCATTATCAGAGTGGGTTGATTATCATAGATGCCATCCCTTCGTAGTAACCACCTTGTTATTTGCTTCCATCTGCAAAGGGGGCTGACTGTGAACCTATCACAGTGTGTTTATACTTGCTTGAGAAGTTTCAGGTTGGCTGAAAATTGTTCCGTGTACATGTGTACATGCTTCTTTTTAAAGAACCTATTGTATGTATAAATATTCCTGGGGCCCACACACACACACACACACACACACACACACACACACAGAGTGATTCAGACTGGAAAAATCTATTACACTCTGAAACCTATAGCATTTTAAGCTTATTCTCATACCAGAATCCCTGAATAGCTTTTCTGCCACGACTCTAGAAATACTTGATTTCTCGAGGGTTTCCTGTTTTGTGTAGGCAGTTCTTAAAAGTAAACAATAGTTTTCACGGAATTCCCAATCTTGGCCTGTAGCTAGGAATGACACTTAGAGGCAAGAGGGAAGAAATGGGAGAATGCTGCTGATTTGAGGTACAACTACTGCTTATGGCTCCCCAAAGCTGCACTCCTATGGAGCGGATTGTATTTGGAAGATTGTGCTGATACCAATTCAGCGTCTAGCTTCCTCCTGGCATGGGGTTTTACTGCATCTTTTCATCCAGCACTAAGCCAAGGCTTCCACAGATCCTTCCAGTGAAAATAGAGACCTCAAGTAGAGGCAATTTCCTCACACCCAGTTCAGTTCTGCTTTTCAATAAGCAAAGATTGAGGTGATTCCTGGGAGCAAGGCCCTAGCTGGCACCTCACAGGAGAACTGGATTGAAGGGGTAAAGGAAGAAGCCACATGAGCACTCAAGGCATCAAGAACCTCTCTAGAATGGTGGGGATCCAGGGAAGAGTCAAACAGGCTCCTTTAAACCTAGAGACGTCTAGTTCTGAAGATGTTCGGCAGAAAGGTAGAGGATGTTGCTCCAAAAAGGCTCTGAGACAGTCCAAGTAAATATTGATGGCTTTGAATTCAGAGATTCTCTTGCCTCTGCCTCCCTAGTGCTAGAATTAAAGGTGTGTGCCACCAGTCCCAGTTGGAATTCTTTGTCTACTGAATATATTTGGATGTCAGGTGGGGCTTCATTTTCAAGAAGGACAAGAAGCTACTGTTTGAAAGGGCAGAAGAAAAGCTTCAGCAGCACTCAGGACAATTGTGGCTGCAGAGCCTCAATTACACTCATATACCAAGGACCATTTTGCTCCGTTGACCTTTATTCTTTTCCCTGGTGACCTGTTTAGCTAGTTCCACAAGCACCCACTCTCCTCATAGAGACCTAATCTCTTTATACCCTGGATGCTATAGTTGGTAAACTTTACTAGCATCAGGTCTTAGGCCTGTCATCCTAGTAATGACAAAGGGGACTATGGTACAAGAGAGACAGATCAGGGGAGGCCTCAATAACTAAGCTGGGAAGATCACAGTAACCTGATCTTTAAAAAACCCGAATAGGAAGTGAAACCTCCAGTGCCAGGAATGGGTTACATCTAGTTGAGTCATTGGCCAAAGAGGCCCATGGAAACCCCCAAACATGTCAGGCTATTGCCAAGGCTATTAGTTACTTTCTACAACCTGATACTGAACACAGAGAAGTCAAGCTGGTGCCCAACTACAGCCTTCAGCCCCACTCACTAATGTTCATGGTAGTGGAAGGTACTCTGCATGCTACCACTAACCCAACTACAAACACTGCCTGCATGAGGTGCTGGTGCAATGGTGGCACAAACTTTGTGGGAGTGGCCAACCACTTGGATTATTTTTAAGGCCTACTCCATGAGATGGAACTCATACCTGACAGTGCTCAGGTGGCCAAGAACCTGAGACTGCATAAGCTATGGACCTATGGAAAAACAAATGCTATTGTTCTGATAAAGGAAAACATCAATAAAATGACTCCTTATGACATTCGGCTATATCCACAGATAAGTGTCTCATTTGGCCATTATGGGAGAAGCTTCTTTTTGCAGTAGATGGGAACTAACAGAGACCTACAACGACAATGTGCAGAGTAAGAGACTTTGGAACACTCAATCCTAAATGGGATTACACCCCTTCCCTACAGGTTCAGGGAACTATGTAGAAGAGAAGGTAGGAAGGTCCTTAAGAGCCATAGGGAATGGATGACTCCAAGGAAACAGTATCTTATAGACACAAGAGAACTAATGCACATAGGAATTTAGAGAGACTGCTAGCATGCACAGGTTCAGTCCAGACAGGCCCCCAGTGCTGAGATGGGGAAGTGAACACGGGTTCCCACTCCTAACCAAGAAGCTATCTTCTAGTTGATATCCACTTGCAAGGTAAAAAATTAGTTTTCTCCCATGGATTCTCATTGAATACATTAGCCACACTTAAGGGACGGCCCCATACCCAGCAGTAGGTGGCCAAAACAAAAACAAACTCAATGGTACTTCTTTTTATTTGTGTCTTCATATGGCTTAGTTTGGGCATTTTTTTTTTTTTTTTGTCTTATTGGTCTTTTGTTGGTCTATTGAGGTTTCTGATTTTGTTTTCATGGGTTTTTTTTTTTTTGTGTGTGTGTGTGTGTGTATCTTCCTTTTTTGTTTTGTTTGCCTGTTTTCTGAAGAGAGAAAAAAAGAAAGGACATGAAGTTGGGTGGGGAGGAGTTGGGGGAGGGGAAATGGTAAACTAAATATATCCTATGTTTTGTTTTTTGTTTTTCAAGATAGGGGTTTCTCTGTGTAGTCCCAACAGTCTTGGAACTCACTCTGTGAACCAGGCTGGCTTCAAACTCAGATATCCACCTGCTTCTGCCTTCAAGTGCTGGGATTAAAGGTGTATGCCACCATGCCTAACTTAAAAATAATTCTATTTAAAAAATAATCCTGGGTAGGCATGCTTAAAATTGCCTTTTACTATTCATTGGTCTTCACTGTAGTTTTTAGACTAAGGAGAAAGAAGGGAGACAGGAAACCTTAGGGGAATTGCTCCCATACTAGTTGGAGATGGGGCAGATTCTAAGGTGGCATCTTCATAGAAGCAGGGTACTGGTAAGATCTGAGGCATTTTAGCAGTTAGAAGTATTGCAGCCTGGTTGTGGCAGGGAGTAGGGCTAAGGTAAGTCTTGCTGGCCTCTGGTCTGATCCCCCAAGAGGATGCAGGGGGAGACCATACAGTTTTAAATAGTTTGGATCTAGGAGTGTAAGCTCAAAATGGAAATGAGGGCCAGAAAAATAGGGATGAAGGTTGTCAAAAAATAGCTGTTCACTGATTTACTGTGGAGAGAAATGGAGAAAGCTGGGAGATACCCAAACAGAAAGCCTATTGCCTCTGGGATTCCACACCCTGCTTCCTCCCTCTTCCTGGGTGGCCTCCCCTTTTTACGGCAAAGACTGACACATTTATGGACCTTGTACTGAAATGGTTCAGTGACCTCTTTGGTTCTTTATTCTCTTTTTGCTCACTTAGCAATTGAGTACTTCTGAATGCCAGACCAACCAGAAAGAATCTGCTGCTTACCATCTCTGCTTGGATGCTATGGCGCTTTTTCATCCTTTCCGTATCTTGATCAAAGTGGGGCACTTCCAGGGTGCTCATACCACAATTCAGATGGCCATTTGTCAAGTACAAAGTGAGCTGAGTCATGGATAGCTGGTCACTGTATGAGACGTTGAGGCCTGTTGTCCATACCTAGTTAAAACATGAGCCAGAGAAGTGAGGGTATGATAAAGACCAGAGAAAAAAGAGAGCTACACCAATCCTAACTAGATCAAGCAAGAGGCCAAGGAGATTCTTGGAGTAGAGATGTCTTTGCTTCTGTTTGTGTATCACATAACTGAGGGGCGGGGCTTGTTTCTCATTAGAACATTTGTGATTATATAGGAAGTTTAAAAAAAAAAATGACAATACCTGGCCGAGACAATCTAGCAGAGATCTTGGTGATGTTTTTTGCTGGTGGTTTGTTATTTCAGAGGTGGACAGTACAACGTTCTCAACTGAGATTGGATAAAAGCTAAAAAGGGTGGTAACTAAAGTAAATACTGAACATTTACTATGTGTTCACCTGGCTGTGACAAAAGTTGGTCATGTGCCACCTCCTCCTTCTCCTTTAAGTTTATTTGTCATTTCAGACTTCCAGGAGATCCCCAGAATCCAACTTAGTTGAATGCTCAAGGCAGAGCATGCAAGTCACTAGAGAGTCATAGAGGCCTAGGCCATGCCATCAAGATAACAGAACCACATATGCTCAGTGAATCACAGCACAGTATAACATAAACTACAACAAAGATTATGGAGGCAGAAAGGGCAGCCTGTGTTTGTTTGGTGGAATCAAAGCTGTCTTTGAAGGTGACATTTGAATTTTCAACTAGTAATAAAACCATCGTTTGCATGGACTAAGTATATATGGTATGCTCAGTACTGCACAGACTTCTCTCATCTTTCTAGTTACTTTTAAAACTACAACCCATGCTACAGATGAAGAAACAGGTCCAGGAGGTCCCTAGGCCCACACAGTAAGGAAGAGGTAGCACTCAGATTCTAATCATATCTGTCTGGTTCCAAGCCCACCCTCCTCCCATGCACCTCCAGAAGAGAGGCCGTTGGTGTTGTACCAATCCTCCAGTCAAATTAAAAGTCAAGGTTGCAGAGGATCAAAACTTGTTCTTGCTTAATACAGCCCATGCCATGGATGTGTCTTGTGGAGAAAACATAAAGTATTGTATTTCTGCAGCATGCTGTAATTAGCAGTAATGCATTTTCACTGTAGGAAGTTGGAAACCAACACATTTTCAGGAAGATTTGATTAAATATTTTTTTCCTCTTAGAAGGCATACAAGTGCCCCACTCACCAACTCTGTATGTTAAAACACACAATACATCTGCCCTAGAGTGGACTCCTCTCACACAAATCTAGCAGTGAGTGACTTGAGTAAGCATTGAATGTAAATGGCATCATTATAAGAATATTAAGGGGTCAAGCTGTCAAGGCCCCTTGCTAAACTGAAGCTAATTTCAGGATCATATTCACACAGTAATCCTCTTTCATAACAGCAAATAAATCACATTTGCAACAATTGTTAAAAAACTAACTGCCAAGTATCTGCTGCAGTTGTAAATACCCTATTTGTCAACTTAAATATTTCCTGCTGTATGGCAGTACATGTAAATCAGATAGGGACAGCTCCTGTTCCCTCTGAGGAAAAAGTGGACTTGTTCTCCTTACACATCTTTCTCCAGAGTTTCTCTTTTCAGGCTTTGGTGCTCTTCATCAAAATATGTATATACAAAATACTACTGATATTTACATTAATGATACTAATGTTTTGGTGATAAGGCTTTTGATAAGAAGGCAGCATAGTCTAGGGAAAGACAGAAGCAAGGAGTAAGAGCACCTGTATGTGGTCCTCACAAGCAGCATAAATTTAGACTAGTTTTGATGTGCTCTCCATCTCAGTATCCTCAAGTGTTAAGGAGAAAACAGTAATACCTATCACATGAGGTTTTGAAAAATCAAACAAAAACCCCAAATATACATAAAATTGCCCTATGAAGCTGAATATAAATGCTACTTACAATTACTAAGCATTCCCTTTAAGAGGACAGACTCCTTACTAACCACAGTGGTGCCAGCTCATAATCCCAGCACTCAGGTGGCTGATCAACAAGGATCACAAATTCAAAGCCAGCCTGGACTAATGGTGGCAAATGCTGTCTTTTAAAACAAAGATTCTTAGGTGACCTGTGGCTATCAGATGGCACCATTTCCTAACTGGTTTGCCCCATAATAGCAGGTTTGGGGCAATGCTGCTACTATTCTTGCTCCATTTCACTGAGGATACTGAGAGAAAAAGCTGTCTCACAGTTTGTCTGAAATGGCAGAGCATGGGCCAGAGCTCTGAATTTTCTAGAGGTTGGTATTTTTGCTTCTTGCTTCCCCAGGCTGCCCTAACTCCTTGGTTCACAAAGGAGATAGAACACATTTCCTTTAGCCTTTTCCTCAACAGCAGGCTTGCCTGATTTGCTCAGATAATTGTTCCCTTCTCCATCTGGTTTTCCCTGCTGAAAACATTGCCCAAGGCATACTTGTTTGTGTACAGGGGTTCCAATATCCCCCTCTAGATTGTTAGCCCTTTAGGGGAAGCTGCTAAGTCTTTGTCTTCCTGCAGCCCCCAGTGTGTGGGGTATGGTTGGCAAAGCAGGGGACAACCACTATTCCAGTCCCATACTGTGATTGCCTCTGGAGCCGTTCAGGAGCAGGCACCTGGGGGCCATTTAGGGCTGAGTCCAGATTCAAATCAAGTAAGTATTTCTCTGCACCTCCTTGGTACCTCTCCTGTGTTCTCACTGCCTCTTACTTAATCCTATTTTTAAATTTAAATTTCAAAGTTAACTTTATAAACTTACAGCTCTCTGCAGTGGATGTTCTTGTCACAAGCAAGCCATGGCAGTGACCTGCACAAAAGCACTCCAAGAAGGGATAAGGACAATATGTATGTGGTGACTTTGACATGACTTGCTATGATGGCTTGTAATGACTTGTTTGATGGATTAATTTATTAGATTTGAAGGTAAGGCTAAGGCACTAAAGACTCTTTTTAAAAAAAAAAAGCCACCCAGTGTGGTGGTGGTGGCAGCATATGCTTTTAAAAATGTTAAGATTATTTTAATCTCTTTGTTAACTTGTGAAAATGGGCTTACTAGAAAATAAAAGTTATGCATGTGGCTTAACAGCCTCTAGTCTACTGCAACTTTACCAAAGAGGTGGACCCAGAGTGTGGGGAGGAGGCCCCTGCTTTCTACCTCCCTGACTGTACTTGCCTGAATCCAGAGAACCAGCATAGGCCAGAACTGTTCTGTTCTCAAGTTCCTTGGGATGACAAGGCAATACCATGCTCCTGTGTGAAAAGGGCTGGGAGAGAGACCTAATGTAAACCCCCTTTTGACTCAGGTATTCTGGACAGGAGGAGGCCGCCTGCTCACCCTTGATGCTTCCACCTTTTCCTGGTGACAGGCAGGATGGATGGGTGATGGGGCATGCAGATATGGGCAGCTGTGCTTTGGCCCTACATTCTGTAATTGTCTTCAAGTGCAAGTAAAGCTCTTTGGCAAAGAGTTTTGTCTTGTTTCCTGTTAGCCTTCTTTTATGAACATCAGTGTAAAGAATGAGACTGAGAGACGAGTTTATAACTGTAGAGTAGTCATTGAAGAACCAGAATTTCTGAGATTTAAGAATCCACAGAGATTTTATAAACTCATTTTTTTTCATCTGCTCTTCTTTTCTGTAGAGAAACTGAAGCCTAGGGCAGTTAACAGGCTAGTGGTCCAAGCTTACGCTGTCAGTGTCTGAGATACATGTTTGTAGTCCACAATTAAGTCACCTCTCTGGGTCCTACTTCCCTTGACTAGTCCCTAGAGATTATGGTCTGGGTAGTCCTTCCGTCCATTGCCCCCAGATATGTCAATGAGGCCAATCTGGGATTATGAAGATTAAGTGATAAAAAATTAAGTGTTTTATTATTCTCCAAATTGGTCAATCTTTAAAAGATGTAACACTGAAAATTCACCCACTATAAGGTTGGCACCAGTTCTTTGGAGTCCACTCTCCTCAGCAGCCTGTTTGACTGCAGGATATAGGAATGACCTTCCTACCCGTATTTTTGTTCATATTCACAGCTCCAAATCTGATGGGCAATCTATTATTGGACCATTTTATTCTTCCCAGAGAAAGGCCAAGCCATCTGTCAGACCAATGGGCAGCTCTTCTGGGAGTCACATAATCCAGCTGTGGCTAGGCCAGAGTTCCTTATGCTCTTCTGGCTTGACTAAGATGTAAGCAAAGGACTTATTTGCCACATACTATTAAGTGACATACAAAGGACTTATTTCCCACATACAACTAAGTGACAAACAAAAGGACTTATTTCCCACATATAACTAAGTGACAAACAAAGGACTTATTTCCCACATACAACTAAGTGACAAACAAAGGACTTATTTCCCACATACAACTAAGTGACAAAGGGCTTATTTCCCAGGTACAATTAAGTGACAAATGAAGGGCTTATTTCCCACATACAACTAAGTGACAGACAAAGGACTTATTTCCCACATATAACTAAGTGACATATAAAGGACTTATTTCCCACAAACAACTAAGTGACAAGCAAAGGACTTATTTCTCACAAACAACTAAGTGACAAAGGACTTACCTCTTGCATACAATTTCAGAGGCTGGAAGTTTGTTGGAGGGTGTTGAGCAGAGGGATGGCATGCTCTGGTGTCTATTTTTAAAGAGTTGATGTGCAGTAAGAGAAGAGACCATGAATGGCAAGGATGGAGACAGGGAGTCCAGTTAGGATGACACTGCCATAGTTTGGGTGATAGATGATAGTGGCAAGACCAGAATCAGAACCATTAAGGGTAGGAGTGGTTTTCTTAGACACATTTCAATAGTAGGTCTTAATGGACATACTGATGGGTTTGGTGTGGGACATGAGACACAGAGAAGAATCAAAGAGGTCCCTAAGCCTTTCCCCCAGAAAATGGAAGGATTATGTCCTAGAAGAACAGATTGGAGACTACTTAGACGGTAAAATCCAGGCCTCAGGCTTAGGTGTATTCAGTTTGAGGTGCGTCTGTTGGACAATATTCCAAGAGGATGAGATCACCTTTTCTTTTTCACTGTATGT